CTTCATCCCCACCCCCAGTTCAGGTGCCCTAAAGAGGTAAGAAGAAAAGCTCTTTAGTGACCACTGCATTCTAGTTCCTCTACCATTATGTTAACTGAAAGACAACAATGAAATGAAGACTGGAGTTCAGTTCACATGGCTATGCACCAAGAATGATGCTAACCACTAAAGACACAAAGAGAAGACCAGGCTCTGTCCCCCAGCCTGCTCCCCCTCTCCCATTCCTGATGACAGGCATCCAAAGAGGGTGACAGGATTACACCATTGGAGAGTTAAGCTCTGGATGCCCTGGGAGATCAAATCAAACTGGGCAATGGAACCATCCCTCCATGGAGAAAAGCAAGCAGTCAGAAGAAACAAAGCACAAGTCTAAAAAGTGAAGTACAAAACTGGATGCTGTATCATTTATCTTTCAAAACAGCATGGCCAGAAAGAAAAGAACCAACTGTATATACAGAAGCCAGGGTTTTCATTCTCCTTCTGTCATTAACTAAAGATAGGAACACATTTAGACCTCTGAGGGTCAGTATGGCATGGTGAAACCCACGATGAAGCTTGCTTCCACTCTGACATTTTATAAGTTTGTCACCTTGGGCAAAGAATTTAATTGTCAGAATCTTGGTTTCTACAACCGAAAAACTGCCCTAATAACCTCTCCATCCTTGGGCTATCCCAGGACTAATATTATAAACATGACTGGAACAGAGAGTACCTCAAAAATATTTGTAGGCTATTTTAGTTAAATCTAAACCATCTATTTAGGACAGTTGAAGGACTGGTCCTTAGGAAAGAGGGCATTTATAAATCTGAAACTCATTCTGTCCCTTCTGGCAAGTAGGAGAGGATCCAGCACAAAAGCCTAGCACACTGGGTTCTCAGCAAGCATGCTACTAATGCCCAGGTGCCAAACCTCAGTAGCTAACACCCTGGGTTACTTTGAATCCTGGTATACTACATAAACTCAAAAGAGGGTTATTTAAACAGAGCCACAGCATCCATTTTCTTACAAAACCCGAAAAACTGAAACCAGAAGAGAGATGTAATAGCTACATCCTTTGGATGAAGCAGAGAACCATATTCGCATGCAAGCGTCACACACACATAATTCTGCAACTCTCATTCTTGCTTTCTCTCTTTACAGGTCAGAGGATGGTCAAGCAAATCAAAAAAATTCTCCAAAAGGAATCCTCCAAAATGAAATGCTAAGCCACTGAATTTTATGCATTACAAAGAAATGCACTTAGGACAAAGTAACGACATCACTTCTACACATCTGTATCCCCCACATATATCCCAAGTAATTTTAAGAATCCTAACGTTTGAGAAATTGATGTAATATGAAAACTTTAGTGTGAAATATCAACAAAGAACTTTCTCAACGTGGAAACACACAGACCACTGTTCTTGAATTCTTTGCTCGACTCTCTCCTGCATCCAACAACAACCAAATATAACTTGGCAGGAAATCAGCCACCAATCCATACATTATATCACATAAATAAAAATACAGCGTTATGTAATCTTATTTAATGGTTACTTGGCTTGGATGAAAACAAAACTTGTATCAGGAGCTGGATTAAATTACAATGCGAAAGACATGTATGAAGATGCTTTTCAGCAAAAATCAGCACATTCCCTACTAGCAAATGTAATATAAAACATGCAACACTATTCTCATCTCCAATTAACCTCCTTGCAAGAAACGCAGTTTCAATTCACCCTACAGGCACTGGGGATGGGAAGGGACGGGAGGCAGGAGGTTAGTGGATAGAGAACAACAAAGCCTATTTTCTTTGAGTCCATTTTAACATGCAGTAAAAATTACCCTTACTTTTGTTAGAGAAATAAATTCAGTGTTTGGGCACAAGGGGAAGAGATTCAGTTATCCAGGGAATATGAAAAATACAATCAGTCACTAAAGTCCATCATGGAACATAGTCTGGAAAAAGTATAAAAGCCAACCTGTACATGACAAGAGGACATCTCTGATGTCATCCCAGCTCAAGTTCTTACTTAAGGACTATTAGAAACAGTAACAATTCAGCTATGAAGCTCATCAATGTCCATGAATACTGCATTAAAAAAAAAGTCCATCTCATTTACAAAATGTTTCATTATTGCAATGTACTGATTACTAACCTAAAATGCTGGTCACAGGAGCGCTTTAATTCACAAAGATCTCTTGGCCTCAACATTAAAATCCTTTAAGATGCATCTACTGCAATGTTTGTTTCTTCAAAGACAAGTACAAAAGAAACTTTTTTTAGAAAGCACGATCAGTCCTCCAAAAGGACACACATTATCTCTCTTATATCACATCAACCAGGGGCAATCATATTAACAATATTGATTTCCTCGGGGTTTTAAATTAGCATGTGAAAAACATTTCATTCCATTTTCTGGGGAAGGCACAAGTAGAAAGAACTAAGACCTCAGGGTCAGGAGATCTGGGTTCAAATTAATTTGAGGTTGTCTACAAGCTTATGCAGCTGAAGTCCTCAGCTTCCTCCCTGAAAAAGATGTCAGTATCTTGCCTTACAGAGATCCATGCATGAGGGTGGCACTAGATAATGGGTGCCTCAAAGTACATTGGAAACTTTAAAACATTGTGCAAACGTAAGGCACTGCTAACAGTGGAGACATTAACTATAAAATATATCTCTTACATATCATACCTCAATAAAGAAAAGGCTTACAATACTGATCAATTGTCACTGTGGGATGTAGGGCTGGGTAGAGATTCCAGTGTAACCTCTGAAAAAATACTTTCCTTAGAGGCAAGTAGTAAAAACAACAACAACAACAACAACAACAAAAACACAACTAAATAAGAATAGAAATGCTTTTATATAGCCAATAACAGGCTGGTTATGTAACTTACAGTCAGACGTTCCTAACAATTATTCAAATTCTGACTTCAGACATTACTTTTTAGAAGGTATTTGCAATTTCAGAATTACATGACTGGGTATAATTGATATTTTAAATGACAGCTTTGCATTCTGAATATCATCCTTTGATTTAAGAGAGAACATTTTAGTCTGAAGTCATCTAAACTAATAGTAACACATGTATCTGAGTACCACTTCTTCCTTCCCATGTGACAATGTCCTTCTTGCAAGAATTATGTTTGATGAAAAGTAACAGAATCAAGTTTAACATCTAAAAAATACTAAACGGAAACATTTCCTCAATACTTGTTTCAAGTAACTGGAAGCCATTAACACTGGCAAAAATCACAGAAGCCAGAAGAATTGTGAATGTGTATCAGCAACACAGTACTATGGCAACATGGCACGGAACCCTGACTTTTAAAATAAGATAACTCATTATACTTTTAAACTGTTTCCTTAACTGAGTACTATGTAAGTTTGATTCTGCTTTTTTGTTAGGAAAAATGTGCTCAATCCCACAGTCCAGAATGTTTCTAATGCCACAGATCTCACACAACATACAAAGAAATTTCTTTCATAGAGATGACAACCCAGCAGGCAACAAAAGATGTACGTAAATCATAAAGAGCAAGGAGTACAAACCTAACTGTACAAACCTAACTGCAGACTGTGCGGAGGGACACGGGAATAAAACCTAAATTCTTGTTCTCGAATTTAGGAATGCATGCCCATTACTTTTTTTCACAAGCCCATTATATTAAAGAAATAAGCAGCTATTTAAAACGAGGGAGCACTGGTAAACCTATTTAAGATCAACAATTCAAATGTGCTTAGATTCTTGGAGACAGGAAGAATCTCCCCACCATCTTCACCAGTCAACAACACACACCCTACTCGGAGTACAGGGGGTCGTGGATTAAAAGTATAGATACCTATATACAAATAGAATATGTCTGCTTCATCTTTCTGTTCCAACAATGAAAGATCCAGAGCCAGCAATAGGAGCAGCAGCCCCGATTTAACTCGGGGACCACAGACTATCACTGCACAGAGTGATGCATGCAGACAGTAATAGATCTGACCAGATAATGTTCCCATCTTTTCCCAGAGAAAACGCAGACGCCCTGTCCATCTTCATCTGAAACGCATATGCCAAGAAACAGGAGTAGCCCAGTGCCTTGGGGAGGAAGACTTAATTTACCTTCCATCCCAGCAGATTATTCAGGACGCCAGAGAGGAGCAAGCCTGAGGAATCCCGGCCTGGGTAGGCGTGCCTTCATAAACCCCAGTGTCCTGGTGCTCCCGTACTTCGCAGCTCAGCTCGCACCCCAGCTGCTTGGAGGAGTGTGCGAATCGCATGGGCAGGCGTGAGGGGAGGCTCCTTTGGCAATGTGCGGAACCCCCTCCCGCCCGACAACAGTGAGGGTCACCCACCCAGCGCTTTCCACGGAAAGGACAGACAAGCAAGCTGGAGGGGCCTGCGCTCCCCTACCCGGGCCTCGTCCTGGGGCTGCCCGCGGCCAGGCTGGCACCGGTGCCCACCCTCAGGAGGACAGTGGCCAGCCAAGCTGCGCCTAGGCGCAGGGAGGCAGACGGGGAGAGGGGCTGGTCTCCCCTGGGGCCTCCGGGCTCTTCTATAAAGAGCTTGGGGTCTGACCCCAAACCTCTTCCAAGGTCCCCAAACTTCACTAACAACCCAAGCACCTGTTCCCTTCGCCTCTCCAGCATCCGATCTCCCTCAGGTCCGTCCATTTTCCTGTATCTTCCCCAGCTCCTTGAACCCCCAAGTCTCCCGCTCTCCCTTCCTCCCCAACGGAGCCCGCGCACACTCGCAGTCCCCCACCGACAAGTTCCCCTGGGTCTTCCCGAGTCCCCAAAGATTTCCTTCAAGTCTCACAAACGCCCTAGCCCTTCTCCTTCCCTCCCAAGTCCACCCAATTTCACACCGCGGCTTTCCCGAGGTGTCCCACATTCCCCCGGGACCCCACCCAAGAGCCCCTGGTGGTTGCGCGGGTCCCGTGGGGTCCCCGAGGTGTGTTTGCAGCCAACCGGGACCCCTCGGGCCGGCCGTGCGCGGCGGCGGCCAGGTAAGGGCCGGCGCCTCACCTTGGTTCACCAGGCGCAGGGCGTGCGTGAAGGAGGGGTCCAGCGAGTCCTTCTCCGCCATCAGCTCGGGCAGGTACTTCTCCTCCATGCTCGCCGGCCGCCAGGCCCGGGACGCCGAATCCCGGCGCGCGGGCAGCAGCGGCCCCGCAGCCCGACCTGCCCGCCCGCAGCGGAGCGGACCGGCCAGACGCCGCGGCGGCCAAGCCGGGCAGGCGGCCGGGCGGCGGCGGCGGGGGCTCGGGGCGGGCGCCGGCCACTCAGCCCGGCCCCGCGGACCCCCAGAGCCCGCGCTGCGGCCGCTGCCTCCGGCCGCGGGCTGAGCAGCAGCGGGCGCGGGCCGGCGCGGTGGAGGCCCGGGGCCGGGCGGGCGGCGCGCTCGGAGACCAGAGGCGGGCGGTCCAGGCTCGCCGGCCAGTGGCGCCGGCGCCGAGCTCAGCCCGCGACCCGCACCGCGCGTCGCCCCGCGCACTCTGAGCCACCGCGCGAGCGCCCCGCGCCAGCCCCGCGCCCCGCCCGCCGCGCCTGCGCGCTGCGCACAACCGCCCGGCGCGCGCCGCCTCGCGGGACGGCTCCGGCTGCGCGGGCCACCGGCGGGACGCGGGGCAGGGAGTGGACGGGGCGCGCATTGACGGGCCTCCTGCAGCCGAGCTCCCGCTCTCCACCCGGAGAGCGACAGAGCGCTCCTCCAAGCAGTTACTGCCTTGCCAGGCCGGGAAACTAAGGCCCAGAGAGGTCAAGTGGCACGCCCAAGGTCACCCAGCTTGTGATCCCGGGGAGGAGGGACAAGGGCAGAGCCGGGAAGGAGAGAAGCCCCAGTTCCTCCCAGCCCGGCTCTAGGGAAAGGCGGCGAGGCGAAAGGCCCTGCTCTTTAAGCTCAGTGGGTTTCCTAACTTAGGTCGCTGTCCCCCCCCCCCCGGTATCTGCAAGAAAATAACGCAGAAGCCCCGTCCTTCTTCCGCGCCTGGGCTTTGAGCCCCGCCAGCCTCCTGAACCCTTTGCCGCGGAGGTCGGTTACATAAAAGCGCGTGCCCTTCAGGGTGTCTTTGTCATCCAGTACTTGCTCTTGGTTGTCATTCTCTTGGGCCATAAAACCGGCTGTGCCTGGACTTGGATGAGTGAACAGCGCTGACCCGTACCCTTAAGAGGACGCACAGCAGGTGGGTGGTGGTGTCCTATGTCCTCCTCTGACCACCTAACCCCCCTCCCAGCAAATGCTCCCCCAGACCCCTTGCAGAATTCCCAAAATGTGTGGAATAAATGGCCACAGCAGACCAAAGACTTTTCTCTTGCCTTTAAACCCACACCTGAAGAGCTGGCTTCTCAATGTCATATTCCCTGGACAGCTTTCCAGGACTTTGCCCAGAAAATCTGGTCACTTCTCTGTGTCCCTCCATCCATGGACAGAGGTCGTTCACAGAGAACTGCAATTTTCTGTTCTCATTAGACCATTCGCACCTCAGGAACAGAGATAGAATTTTGTTTTGGAGGAAAGGTTTCCAGTGCTTGTGCCTGGGACAGGTGTGGAGGGCACCACGCACCCTATCCCCTGCTCCAGCCTAGACTGAATTGACTGACACTTCATCGTCCCCTGTGAGAATCTTCCTCCTGTAGCTCTTTGTTCCAAATTTGCAAGAGGCAGTAAAATGAAATAGACGCATGACTCAGTTTCCTCATCTGTAAGTGTTTCTTAAGAGGGCCATCATGAAATACTTAAACAGTATTCAGCACATAATGAAAGCTTAGCTCTTGTTCTGTGCAGTTTTTCCCCTGTGTGGCTGACCTCTGGGTCTGAACTTCACCTTGCCTTCAGCTGCAGCTCCCAGAGACACTGGGCAAATACCACCTGTAGTGTCTTCATTGCTGGACATGGAGCATGAGCTCTGGGGACTAAGCAGGGACTTGTGATAAACACACTTGTTTCTCACCTTGGGCCCCGGAGAAGTGCTGGTAATGGTAAAGCAGGAGTGTAGAAGGCTGCTGTCAGGCTCTGTTCCAGCTTGGTTGATTGTCCTGAAGTTTGAGCTTCTGACATATACCCCATTATCTGGGTTCTGCCCGCAGACCTGGAAGGCAGCTGGAAGGTTCATAGGGAAATGTGTTCTCCTTTTACAGCTGAACTGAAGTACATATGTCTGTCTTATGTTCCTGTCACAGGACTTTCTGCCCCAGTGACAGACCAAACCTGAGTAATCAGTATTTTTATTGAGCATTTACTAATGCCAGATATTGTGATAGCTGCTTTGCAAACAGCTCTCTCCACACCCTGCAGGGAAAATTCTATTTATTACTATTTACAAATCAAGAGACCAAGGCTCAGCATAGTTTAATACTTTGCTTAATGTCCCACAGCTGTCAGTGGGGGATCCCAGGCCCATTTGATTCTAATTCCCCTCTTCTCTCCCTTCCTGGTTCTGCCTTCCCAGATAGCAATCTGGGACACTTGAGACTAGCTCTCCATCCTGCCCTCATCCGAGCAGTTGGCAGAGATGTCCCACCAGCAGCTGGGGAGGAGGGCCAAACACAAGGAAGCTGATAGAAAAGACACTGAATCTTCTGCTCCAGACCCTCCTCCTCATAGAACCTTCCAAAAGGGCAGTTGCCCAACACTGTAAAGTGCTAGTACCAGGTTCTCCGGGGAGGAAGGAGATGGATGTCTCTGTGAGATACTCAGGAAATTGTCCACACCCACCAACCTGGCTTCAGGACACCTCCACGCCTTGCTGCATGCTCTGCTGATCTTCAGGAGGTCACCATCCTGCGAATTCCTTTCAAAAATGAGAAAATTGGGTCTTGGGAAAAATTATAATCTTTACAGCTGCAAGTAGTACTCAAACTCGGGTCTTTGAGCTTCTAGGGCAGAGACCTCTGCAGAATTCCGTGGTATTCACTAAGGGCACACTGTGTTCAGAAACTTGTCTGGGTGTGGGGTCGTCTCATGGACTTCTTCCAATCCACATCAGCCTAGAGAGAGCACTGGCTACTTCACGGCTTGTGGCTGCATAGTTCCTGTCTACCCTGCATGGAGTCCCTAAGCTGCTGTAAGGAACTCAGCCTGCTTTCTCCTCAGATTCAAGTCAGTCTCCCAAGGGGCACTTCCCAGACCAACCTCACCCATCACACCACATCTAGCCATCTCAGGAGCCGCAGTAAATTCCCACAGCCCCATCCAGATGGCTGTCTGTCAGAATCCCCACCTGCTTCCTGCCCCTTCTCTCCTGGGGAGAGAGAGAGACTCCTCTTGGCCTCTGTGACACTAACTGCAGCAAGTCAGACACTGCTATAGCTCCTCGATGTCAGAGGATGCACGAAACATAGGGAGTATGTCTGGGAGACAGTGTCCCTATTTGTAAGGATTGCTGCTCCCTTTTGTGTAAGGGAGGTCAGCCCTATCCCAGTTACTTCAAGACGCTACAGAGTCTAAATATGAGGGCTAGCGAGATCTCAGATCTCTAGTTTCCTTTGCTTCATGCATCAGCCTCTCACTCCTTATCTCTGAGCACAGGGAGGGGATGGTATCTACCTTGCAGAATCACTGTGAGGTTTAAAGAGAAGCATTAGGCACTAAGTGTGTCTTAAAGCTTTCCAACTCTCCCTCTTCTCTGCTCACCAGGATTGTTTGTGCTCCTCTTCTCATTTAATAAATTGAGCTGAGGTCCTTGGCCCCAGCTCCTCATACAGTGGTCAGGTCGCAGCAAGGGCTCATTCTTTCGGGGGCCATTTCTCCTGAATGCTGCACCCCTAACAGTACTGCTATTCAGCTACCTGAGACAGGCATTTGTCATGTAAGGCGGATGCCAAATGATGGCATACCCTCACCTAGAAATCAGCCATCAACACATGGCAGAAAAGACACCAGATATTCATCCTGGCCTCTGACTCCAGTTGTTACAAAACTTGTGACTGGGGTTGAAAAAGACTTGACACATGTTGGGAGTGATAGGGAGAAACTCCTTTAAAGGTGGGAGCCCTCACAAGTTCAAAGTCCACTTGCAGATCAGGGATACCTTGCCAAGGACTAGTTAATCTGTTAGTGGCTTTTCTCTATTTTACTCAACAACCCCCAGAAAACTCCTACATTCAGTGTATAGAGTGGCAAACAAGCTCAGAGATCAGCTAGAGAGCAACAATTCATTTTGAGAGATGAGGAAAGTTACATGATTCAAAGATTGTAAGGGGAGAACTGGACACACTTGCGCTCCTGCACGTGGCTGCTCTCAGAAGGACCGGTATGCACAGATGTGGGCACACACAAACACCTTTCTATTTCACTCAGTCTATTTCAGATGGAATCGTATCTTCCAGCTCCTTCACTCACATACCTGGAGACACCTGGCCTCCTGTCTCTGGATGCATGTGCCCTGCACGTCTATACCTTTCTCTCGGGATTGGGTGGGAGACCAGCTCATTTCAGACTTTTACCAGAGCAACAACGCTTAGTTATGGTCCTGCAGCGAAGATGGCACACTCCCCCTAGTGGCCACTCTTGGAAGCGCATGCCCCCAAAAGTTTTCTTTTGGACTGTAAGTGAAAGGAAACCCTATAGAGCTGTGATGCCACCCGGGGAAGGAGGAGAATGAGATATGACCTTAATTCAATGAGAGTGAAAAAGAGTAAGGCCAAGAGAAAGGGAAGGGGAAAGAAAAAATATGAAGGGGAAAAAAGGACACAGAGAGAACAAAAGGAAGAAAACGAAAGATGAATAGAACAGGACAGAGATAAAAAAGATAAGGAAAACCTAATGGTTTTCCTTAGGAAAACCTAATGGAGGGATGTTTCTCCATTTCAAAGAGATAAACACATGAAAATAGTAATGGAAAATAACAAGAATCGACAAGTCCAGGGTCAACAGGCTGCCCCGTAGCAGTCAGATGGGTACAAATGAGTCAGGAATGAGAGGGACAGGGACCCTGGATTTGACTCCATCACTACCAGCCTTTGTAATCTTTTCACATCCCAAATCTTTCTGCCTCTTTTTTTCTGGGCTTGTAAAGGGGAGGTAATAACAGTTGTTCTTTTCCTATTTCATCGAGATCACATGAGAACAATACAGAATTGCAGAGAAAAACCCTGAAGATTGCTCTGAGCTCTCAGATGCAGCCATCAGAGAAATGTGTTTTATTATCTTCCCCCATGCAGAAGCCACCCTCTCTCCTTTGCTTCCTGGTCCAAAAGGTGATATGTGTTGCTGGAAGCTGAAGCACTTGCTGTATTTCAACAATGCACCAAGTTGTCACCACCTCTGGTGCTTTGTAAGATGCTATGATTTGAAGAGCACTATTGAAATGTAAAACATTATTGCCATAGTAGTAAAAATATCCATGTCCATCTCCTAACCCACTATTTCTTGTCAGGAGCCATAGAGATACACACAAAACAATTCCATCCCCCTAGCAAATTGTTTTTAACAGTAAAACTGCACCTATCTGAGTTCAGCAAAATAACAAGAAACAAACAAAC